TGTCACTTGCTTGGGGGAAAATGTGTTGATGCTGCAGCACCAGCTACTGATTTTTTAAGACCAGCAACCAGGTGGCTTGGTCTGGGCCCAGTCCACAGGTGCAATGTCTGACTACAAGTAACTTGCAAGTAACAAACAACAAATTTTCATTAAATCCAGAACTGTCCACCTTGTTACAGTCCACCGAGTAAATTATTACAGATTTAATGAAATCTGCTATTTCCAGAATTGTCCATTAGAGTTTACTGTTTGCTGTAACACTAATGGACAATTAGTGTTACAGTTCGCTGGGTTCACTGATTTTATAGTTAACAGATGAAATCTGTTAAATATTGAATTGGCTCTTACTGATAATCATGGAAAACAATACCAACATTCAGCTTAAACAAACAATCAGCATTACCAAATATCCTTGCCCCCATTTTGTCCATTAAACTGAAATTTTGTGTGTGTATTCCTTCTTTTATTATTATTATAACCTGTCTGACTCCTTTATATTCTTTAAATTCTCAGGCTGCCCTCCTACTGTTGAATTTCTTTTATTTAAATAGTATTAAGTGAAGAGTAGTAAATCCTTGATTTAACAGGACTATAGGGGAGGAGAGAGGGTGTCTGCTAATACAGTAATGTAATTGAAGGCATTACTCATTGTACATTAAAACACATTTGATTTTTAATAGTAAATATAAACATAATTGTAATGTAATTGAAGGCATTACTTATTGTATCATAATCTTAGTATGTTCACCTGAATGCATGTCTGAAAAGTCCAGCCGACTCTGTGGTAGAGGTACAATCCCTGGGTCACTAAAGACTGCTCGTACATGTGCCATTAGTGTCAAGAAGACAAGGATATTGAATAGAAGAACATGCAGTACTCCCCATAAACTGAAAAATTACAAAGAAAAAAAAAGAGTTTTCAGTGACTACATAGTAAATGACTTCTTTTATAATACTTAAAATATGTAGGTTTCATTGCATACAAACCAACTTAGAAACAAGTTGCATTTCCGTTATTCCAACTCCCACACAACTGTTTGTAACTCTGAATTAATTTATAGAAAATTAATAGCATAAAAGATGGGTTATGTTCTTAAGTATCTTTGTAAGTGAGGATAGGCATTTACTAGCAATTATTCTTTAAATATTTTTTTTATGGACCATGTTGTGGCAAAAACTTGCTGAGCAAAACCATGCCATATAAGAAGTTATGTATACAGGGGCTTCCCCAATCACAAATGCTTATGTCCATAATTCAAGCATTTGTGACTTGGGAAGCCCCTGTACAGTGGTACCTTGAGTTTCGAACAGCTCCCAACTCGAACAATTATGTAAGTGTATTTTGTAAGTGCTTTTGTAAGTGTATTTTTGGGGGTCTGAAACGGACTAATCTAATTTACATTATTCCTTATGGGAACAAATTTGTTCGGTATCGGCACTCGAACAGCCTTCTGGAACAAATTAAGTTCATAACTCGAGGTACCACAGTATACACTAACATCTCATACAGCATGGGTTTGCTTAGCAAGTTTTTGCCACAACATATTTTATATACTGATACCAAATTATTACTTAGCATGAATATTCTTACCAAAGTGAAGTTGTGTGTGGATGAAAATAGGAAGTTTACAAATCACTCGCTGCACTTCCCGGGAGAGTCTGAGAAAGAACACCTCCCTCTCGGTAATACTTAATTTGCAAAGAAGATTAAGGATTAATATGTGACGATGCAGCAGAAATTGCATGTCCTTAAAAAGATTCAAGGAGCAGCTTGCATGGTGGTGATAGCAATGAAATTGAGAGTGAATGTACTGTATTAGCTACAGAACAATTGAATATCATAAATTCTCTGAAAAAAAAGTAGAAGTAGGAAGAGAATCAGGAAGTGTGTGATGCTTCTTAACATTGAGAGGAGTGTAACTGCTTTCAATGAGGCAGACTAACATGAGAAGACAACATTAAGCTACAATGAATATGTGAACATTTACAATATCAAAATATGTAAGGACAGTGTAGAGATGCATTATCAAATACTGTAGAGTACTGTGCTTTGTCATTCCAAGAGAACTCTTCAACAACAACTACACAAAAACCACAACCCTCTTCTAACTTGACCCAATAAGCTGACATTAACACACCTGTATGAGATCTTCAGCTGCAGGTAGTGAAGGCTGCCAGAACGTGGGTATTCAAGTTATACTCATTTTACTAAATTAATTTTCTTACAAGGTTTCCAATGTCAGCTTCTTGGTGCCTCCTGTAAACTTACAAACACTATTTTCATTGTTTTAAGTTAGGTTACATAAACCTATAAAAAATTACAATTAACAATTAGTAAGTTAAACAAGCAGCCAAAGAATGCTAGCAACAAGGTGGCTGAACATAACCAAGGAATGCATGAATGGGCTGGGATTATTTATTGCTATATTACAATTTGTATACAATAATCTGGGGAACACCATAATTCACAAGGGTTATGTTCTAGAGTCTCATGGATCTGAAATTTGTGAGAATTAAAATTTGCCTCATTTTGTTTTAGAGGTGATATCTTTCTAGTTTTCTACGGAATGGTCTTGCATCAAGCCTAAAAAAACCGTCAGTGTGGAAATAATCAAAACTATATGTGAGATACCTCTAAAAAAAAAAAAATGGAAACTTGTGAATGAGAAAGGCTTGTTAACCTTGGAATTCAACTGTATTCTATAGTTTGTATTCTATGCTTTCATGTTGTAATGTTTCTGGATTGCAATGAACACACTATACAGGTCACTGTACCGTTAAGATGATTATCTTTTATTACTAACAAAACGTACATACAGTGGAACCCCGGTTTTCAAACTTAATCCATTTCAGAAGGTGGTAAAGAATAAATAGTTTACATACACAAAACATGAAAAATAAATACAGTGGAACCTCAAAATTGAACGTATCACATATGAACGTTTCAAAAATAGAACCCTTTTCTCGAACCAACTTTGTCCCTATTATCGAACCTGCCCCTATTTTCGGACTGCCGGGTACCGGACCTGTCCGCCAGCCCGCTCTGTCCGTGTCCCTGCGCAGGCACCGTGAGCCAGTCTGGCTTTGTTGATGCTTGAGTGAACACTAACCTGCGCTCTCATTCAAACATTTTTACGATTATTTCATTGTGTTTAGTGCTGTGGGACTGTGAAATAAGCTACCATGGGCCCAAAGAAGCTTGCTAGTGGTACCATTGTGGTAAAAAATGTGAGAAACACCATAGATGTGAAGAAGGAAATAATACAGAAGTGGAATGATGTCCAAATGTTTGTGGGGAAGTACCACTCTGAGCAAGCTGAAACAAGCCACCTTTGCAACAAGTTCAGTGACAGAACCATGTCCCATTTTAGGGAAATGTTAAAGAGGCGCCAGAAACAGAGGACTGTGGACAGTTATTTTGTGAGACAGGGGTCCAGTGACTCTCAAGCTGGTCCTAGTGGCATTGAAAGACAGAGAAGGGAAGTAAGCCCAGAGAGGGCTTTACCTGAAGTCCTCATGGAGGGGGATTCTCCTTCCAAACACTAACCCCAACTCCCTCTCTCCTCCTCCCTATCTTCCAGATACCATCACCAATCTTCAATAAAGGTAAGTAAAAATGTTATTTTATATTTATATGCATAATTGAACACTATAGTATTTGTTGTGTGTATGTAAAACTGTAATTAATCCCTATAAAATGTATTTTTTGTGAATTTTTTTGGGTTTCTGGAACAGATTAATTGTATTTCCATTATTTATAATGGGAAATATTGCTTCGATTTTCAGACTTTTCGAATTTGGGAACTAGCTCCCGGGAACGGATTAAGTTCGATATCTGGGTTCCACTGTATAAATAAATATAAACATTACTTCCCTTTTATTGAAACTTTTTGTTGGTATATTAAAGAAGGCAAGGAGGGTGAGAGGGAATTGGGTTAGTGTTTGGAAGGGAAATCCCCCTTCATAAGGACTTTCAGGTATCAAGCCCCTCTCTGGGGTTACTTCCCTTCTTGTCTTTTAATGGCACTAGGACCAGGTTGAGAGCCACTGGACCCCTGTCACACAAAATATCTGTCCAGAGAGGTTCTTTCTTGAGTCTCTCTAAGATATGGCCTGAAGGGAGGACAAGGGTTCTGTCACTGAAAGTTGCCGATATGGCTTTTTTTGGCTTGGTCAGGGTGGTATTTCTCCACAAAACTTTGCACCCCCCTCCACTCTGCACAAAAGTCCTTAAATCACTGAAGGCACTTTTTCCCCTCTCTCTACCTCCTCCTCTGAGGCATTTTTCTTTAGAGATCCACATGTAACTGCGTTGCCCTTTCACAAATGATCGACTCCACAACACTATCTCCCGCTAACTGTTTTTCATTGATCCACACCAAAACAACTTCTCCAAATCTTCCACTGTTTGTGATCTCTGTTTCATTAGTACATTTCAACCCTTCCACAACTTTGCTTCCTTGATTTCTACTTTTTTTGCCAAGATGAAGAAGACTGTTGATTTCGAATTCCCATACATCCTGGCAAGGTCGGTAAATGTACGCAACTTTCGTATTTTTCAATGATCTTTTCTTTATTTCTATCATGATTCTTGCCTTCTTTATCTAAGGGCTGGTACTAGAAACTTTCTTTGGCCCATGCTGGTTTAATTTCACAGCCCACAATTAAAAAACACCAAAAACAAGGGATTATTTCGAAATGTTTTGGAATGTGTGAAGTAATGCTCACTAACCACGGGACAGGGGGCGAATGAGAGGTGTAGTGGCGGTGTTCCTGGCGGTTGGGCAGGCAGATGCATATAATACATCCGATTACCGGAGCAAGGCCCAAATTTTTCCGAAACAAAATTTCGCACAAAACAAAAACGGTCCTAAAACCGAAACATCCAATAACTGGAGTGTGCGAAAACCTGGGTTCCACTGTGTTAGTGAAAAAAGCACAAATGAAAATTTAGGAAATACAGCCTTTCCTCACTTAGTGACGTACTCGTTTACCGATGACTCGGACTTACAACAGGATCTCTGACCAGTATGCATACCTAAAAAATGTACATCAGAGCTGATTCCTCTATTCTATTTATTTTCAATTCGTATACAGTGCACTACTGTGAAACATTAAAAATATACTAAAAATGTTATAAATGGTCAAAGGGACATTAAAACAATATCAAAGATGGTGGTACAAACCATACCCTTATAATATTTCTTCCTGTTTAGCGATGAATTCGTTTACCGACATGGTTTTTAGGAACAGAACTCCATCATTGAGTGAGGAGAGGCTGTACTAAGGGAACTGAATTTGACAATTATTGTACTCTATAGGAAATAATGCTGTAACTATAATAATAATAATAATTTATTATTACAATTGGCATTATATTTATTCATAAATGAAATGCATTTGAACCAAAATAATTGATCTGATGCCATGAATACACATGAGGCCTCCGTAAAACAACCATTATTGTCGATTCCTAATGGCTATAATCAAAACCCAAAGATTTTTAAGAGGTGGACTAGTAACCCAGTGGAAGTCCTCGGTCAGATGAACAAAAGCTCCAGCTGTAGGTCATCATATGATTAAGCCCCCACATCAGGAAACCTTGTCCTGTTTCCTGACAAACATACCTCCCTCAAAACTTTCAATGCAAAAGGTGTGCAGTATCAAGTATATTTCGCTAAATTCTGATTGAGTGCACTTAAGCATGGCAAAGGGGCTACAGAACTAGGACAGGGTGAATGTGGTACTTGAAACTCATCAAGTTAAGTAAGGCAGTGTTAGTTCCTCAAAAATGCTGTAAAAATTAACGTAATACACTGGACTTGATAAAGCCTAGTCCTGGAAAAAGCTCGTTTGTACTGAGTGTATAACTACATCCACAGCCATAATGATATCAACATTAATTATTAATTTCTATAATCAAAAAGAAGCGTTAAACCTACAAGTCATACAGCACTGACATTAATAATTTCCGTTTAAATTTTATACAAAAACGTATCATTAACCTGTACATAATACAAGCTTAATACGAATGATCATGTAAGAAGATGCAGAAATACGCTAACTAAGGTGAAAACGTACACATATTTCTATGTTTAGCCTTACGTATATGAAGGACAACTTTTTTACTTTCTAGGCAGAACATTTTCAGCACCTCCTCGAGGGCTAAGAGCCATTACTAGCAACAACCTACCTATTAAACATGGTCTGTAGCACAATCCAGTTAATAACGACATAATCTGCGTAAAATATTGCGGCATAGGTGAGAATTAAGCAAGTTATGCCACAGGGATCTCCTCTGAAGACGGGCATGTTGACATCTTTTTTGACATGTCCAGGCCAGGGACCCTTCATGCAAACATCAACAAACCATAACAATCAACAAGAGTCACTATTATAAATTTAATTATTTGGAAAACTTTATCATATTAAACATTATTAATTGTTTTGTATAACTGACCTTCAAAATATTTAACAACAAGAATAATAATTGATAATAATAATAATTAATAATAATAATATAATAATAATAATAATAATAATAATAATAATAAATAAAAAAAATAATAATTAATAAAATAAAATAATAAAAAAATAAAATAAATAATAATAAAATAATAAAAAAAAATAATATAATAAAAAAAAAAAAATTTTTTTTTAAAAAAAAAAAAAAAAAAACCCAAAAAAATTTAATTAAAAAAAAAAAAAAAATAAAATAAATAAAAAATTTAATATATTCCAACCATCCCAGCCCTTCATGGTGTACTAGCCCACCTTAGCCAAACTCCATCCAAACCCCCTTTGGGGGATCACCAGAATCTACTTGGCTAGCCTACAATTTCCAAAATAATTTTATTTTTCCCCCCGGGGAATTAGGTCTCAGACATCCCTAAAAGTACCCAGGGGGCCAAACCACCCTGGAAAACCCGGGCCCCAAAAATCGGCAAATAATAATATAATAATAATAAAAAATAATATAATAATAATAATAATAAAAATAATAATAATAAAATAAATTAATAATATATTTAGATTTTTTTAGATTTCGCCAGAGAAAATATCTACCCTAAAACAGGACTCGCAGAAATGGTTTTAAGTTGGAAAATTCAGATTCAGGAAGGTTTATAGGAAAGAAACGGTTGTAATAGAGTTGTGGATGGTGGAACAAACTCCAAGTACATTTTGAGGCCAGCGTTGTGTGCTTAAAAATAGGTTGGATAAAACATGGTGGATGTGGGGGGGGTGTGAGTTAGACCTGATAGCTTGTGCTACCAGGTCGGTTGCCGTGTCCCCCCTTAAGTAAAATGTGACCTGACCTGACAAAGGTTGGTTGCATTGGCTTAAGCCGGTAGGAGACTTGGACCTGCCTCGCATGGGCCAGTAGGCCTTCTCCCAGTGTTCCTTCTTTTTCTTATGTTCTTATGTTCTAGAAAGTGGCTAGTTTATCGTGAACCCCATATCCATCCAGGGAACGGATAGCACAGAGCATATGACATAAAGGCCTAGGAACTGGGCCCACAAAAGTGTTAACGGGACTACTTCTGGAATTATATTACAGTTACTTATCTGTTACCATCAAATTTAAGGATATTTTTTAATATATCTGGATCTATTTTCTTTAAATAAGATATTTTGATTCACAAAAGGTATTATATTATCTCTATATTCCTCAGTAAGTGGACAATAAGCACATAATGTTCAAAACAGTGACCATGGAATGGCCACATTCTTTACATCTGGTTTTATCATTATCTGTGTGTCTCCTAAGCCTAAGCTGGCCACTAAGGTGGTCGTGGCTTTGTTGGCAAGACTCTCGCTTCACACGCTGAGGGTTCTGGGTTTGATTCCGGCAAGGGCGGAAATTTGAGCGTTTCCTTACACCTGTTGTCCATGTTCACCCATCACAAATGAGTACTGGGTGTTACTCGCATTGTATCATTGTATTCTCTATTCTGAGGCCATTTTGGTTCCAACCTTTGTAACTTTTTGGTCAAATTCTGAACACTTTTGATCAGGTAGAAACTTAAAACTGGTTTTACATACTCTAAGATAGGCCTTCCCTTACATTGTGTACAGAGGCCCTAAAGATTATTTTTATTTAAAGGTTCCTGAAGGTTGTTTGAGATACGCTGACCTTGCATATACTGTCCAAAAACATTTGTTAATGTGGTTCTCCGGTAATATGTGGGGAATTTACGTTGACCCCCCATCCTTCTCCTTAGTCGATATTGCAGTTCCTCCTATTTTATGTGTTGAATCAAAACGTGATTTCTTTTATTCTAGTAAACACTCACTTTTAGCCTGAAATATGAGTACTATCCCGTATCTGGGGTAGTCCATCTTTTTGAATTTGTACTAATTAAAAACTAGCAAGACCGTTATTATGGCATCGAACAACACTTTTTCAGAAAAGTTTGTCTATTCTAGTAAATAAAATTTTTACTACAGTCCATAGAGACCGGATTATTCCCTGATCAAGACTAAGACGGACATGTGTTTGTCTTGAAGGCAATACCTGAACACATCGTGTGTGAAGCTAGAGACTCGAAGAGCACCAGTGAACCTTCCAGGCTCAAACACACATAATGGTAAATTATGAAGATTTAACCAGGCTGGTGACTGTTGTTTCTTCCCTGACAAGCGATGGATTGTGTAACTAAATGAAGGCATGTTAAAAATATATATAATTAGAAGTGTTTGGAGCATATTTATTAACATTTCAGGTAGGATATGCATTTGAATAATTGTTTTAAGAGTTTTCACTAAAACCTATAATATAAATTAAATAAGATCAGTCATTAAAATAACTCGGAGTTTATGTGAATATTAATATTCTTATTATATTAGAGATATCTATATTTTTTCTCAAATTTTGGAAAATGTTATAAATATTAAAAACTTTTAAACCATCCGTTTCATAAAATTTACGCGACATACTGAGATTTTTTATTCAGTGCATAGCAATAATTATATGTAAAAAAATAATAGACGAAAACATCTCCATTTCGTAGGAATACTTTTCTTGAGACAGGGTCTCAAAACTATGTAAATTCTGATGATTATATCTCGATGTGTGTCACTGAAGGATCTGTGCATGTACACATAAAGGGGTATATATCTCAGTATTATATTTTATATATATATATATTAAATTAATATTATATATATATATATATATATATTATATATATATATATTATATATATATATATATATATATATATAATTTAATATAATTTATTTTTAAAATTTTACACACCAACACACATATTTTAAAATTAAATTTATAATATATATATAAAAATATAAAATATATTATATTAAAAATATTTTATATATAAATATTATATATATATAATATATTTACACACACACTTCGAGTTTACTTTAATCTCAGTAAGCTACACTTGGGTTAGGGTTTTTGATTGGGGTAAAGAGGTAACTGTACCCTTTAATGATTTTAATGTGTCGACGGTTTCGACCCCATTTTTAAAAAACTCTCTAGTCTTCAAGGCTCCTGAGAGCTATCCGATCACTTTAAATTTTTTGCTATAAATTTTTGTCCAAAAATTTTGAAGATTAGTCTTTTATTATTTAAATTTAAGATTTTCAATATAAACCCTTCCAGTCTGCCCCCCCTTGAACACGACTCAAAATTTATTTTCAGGCTCCTGAACCTGTTAGGAACACACAATGAGGGGATGTTTTGTATTACATAAATCAGGCCGGCCCCACCTTTGACACAGACCCCCCTTTTTGATTTTTTGAGAGCAAAATTTATTATAGGGAACTTGATTATCTTTTTTAGCACCCCTCGCCCCCCTTTACAAACTGTATATCTCCACCCTCGTTGTCTTGATCAAGTATATAAAAACCACCCGGGAGGGTGTTGACCCTGGGGGGTTTATCATTTAGTTATGTTATAATAAAAATCAGGACCATAACGAACGTAAAATTTGTTACTGTTAATGTTTTTATTTGAACTTTTCAAGGGGTAAGTCCCCTTGATAGGGTGAAGGTTTTTTTTTAAAGGAATTGGAGTTCCCCCGCCCTTTCCTTGGAAGGGGGTAAGAGTTCGTAATGATACAAAAAAATTTGCGGAAGGGTGGGCTCAAACCCCATTGGTAAGCGGGTTTTTTAAAACAGCGGGCCCGTGGCCCAGTGGATAACAATGGTCGTAGTTTTGGGTTTGGGCTTGTGAGGGGCCCCTTTTCCACAGTGATTTGATTAATTTCTTTTCCCCAAGCTCTGTAGAAAAACTTGAAAGATCATCAAAATATCCATATCCCCCTTAAAGGACTGGAGGCGTTTGTTAAACAAAATATCCGTTAAGGGAAAAAATTTAATGGGGAAGTAGGCATTCCCCGGGTTAATAACTCCGGAGATAACGCAGGATCCCCCTAAAAAAAACTATTTTTTCCCCTTTGGTTTTTGGGTTTTCCTTCCTAGGAACCGCCCCAAAAACAAAAACCCAAGATGAATACCCCAAAGGTGTTGGGAGATTGCGATACGATGGCCCAAGTTCGAACCGGGTCATTTCGTTGAGACCAACGCTGCTACGAGTATATCTTTTTGTATTATAGAAGTATGAACAGGGACAAATAGTGAGGTATTACGTGACCAATATAAGGAGGGGGGAACGGGCACTTTGTTATATAGATGGAATTGGGGAAGAGAAGTGCTCCTTTGCAGGGGGAAAGGGTAAGATTCATGTTTAGTTTCTATGAAGAACCAAAAATTTAGTTAGAGGAAAGCGTTAAATCCGTGTGGAAAAAAAATGATGTGTGGAGTTCGACCCTTCGTTTTTCGTTGCGTTACGGACATGATATTTAAATAATTATACTCCAAGAATTTTAACATTTTCTTTATCACTTTTTTTATGCCTTTTATTTTCATTTTCTGCCGTTTTCTATTTTTTCTTTTTGTTATATTGTCATAATCATAATTCTTTTATCTTTCTGTAACAAAATAATTTTGTGCCAAATTATCGCTGGCGTATAAACCATTTTACGATATTGTTTGCTTCGTTGTCAAATGAACTCGAGACCATTAAAAATTGAATTATAAAAATTCTTAGGATTTGAAATAAAACGAAACAATGGTGCATTTTTTTTTTTTATGTCGTGTTAACCCCCTAAAAAAAAAAATTTTTCTGTAGGATTTATTTGGTATTAGTAATATTTTAAATGCAAACCAAATTTAATATTGTTTAAGTCTTTTTTTCTGTAAAAATAATGAAGTTAAGACTTTTCTGGCATTGATCTTAGAATGTAGCGGATATGGAATTTAAAATTAATACCACAAATATATATAATATAATGAAACTGAAGCTCGTAGTTTTTAAAAAGATATAA